TTGTCTGTATGCAAATTTCACCGAACAAAGATACGAATCTAAACATCTTGTGCAACGCAGAAGCCAGTCGAATTGGGACAGAGACCGAAAAAAGGAGCATAGGTAAAAAGGAGAGACAGGAGCTGGAGAAAGAATCAGCTTTGCATTATCAGTGGTACTAGGGAGAAGACGTGGTGATGATAACACAGCAATTGAAAGCCACATATAATCAGAAAACCTTATTTTGTCCAGTAGCTAATACCTTTTCTTAAGCTATCTACTAGAGTTGCTGACAAGTGTATTAGAAGAGATTATGTATTAAAAGGACCGATCCTGTTCCAGAAAATTAAAACAAGGAAGCATTCAGTAGAATCTGAGAGGCTGAAAAACAGTATTGTACCCTATATTCATAGGTAGTAAAGTTAGTGCAAATATGTACATGTTTGTTTAGATAGTCATTTGCCTTAAATATTTGATATCTGAATTATGCACACTTATTCTCCCTAATATTGATATTCATTTTGTCCTAATGAGCTTCAGGCAAAGAAAATTTGAATTATACGACATGTGTAAACCTCCCATTGAATGGTAATTAGTCTGTTCTGCTTAGTGGCACTTAAGGTTAATAGTTGAGTAAAAATTTTTAAAAAACAGTGACTTGATCTCCGATATGTGTGGGATAGATAGGCTGAGAATCAGTTCAAGCTTTTATTCTGTGTCAGTAACAATTCCTCACTTTGTATCTAAGCCTCGGTTTTACATCTATTGCATGTGTGACTAGAGAGTCAGGTGACAATACATCTGAACTTTGCCATTTATCACAGACCCAGGACAGAGAAAATGTAGTCTATATAATAGGAACCATTCTTTCACCTTTTTTTATATTTTCTAAATTTTTATTTATCTGGGGTGTTGTTATGGGCTCTTTTTCTTTTTACCTCTCAGTTGTCATAATTTAAAGGAAGCTTTTTGTAAAGGGGCAGGAGCGAGAGTAGCTTGCTTCTATGAAGATTTGTTGGGTTGGTGAAAAGCTGGGCATTAAATACCTAGGCCAGTATGGGAGCAAAAAGTTATAAAATTTCTGGAGTTTTATACTTAAAATCATATGTATGTGATTAAGAAAGGAGTCTAAACTTTCTGTGACACAAGAGTCTGTGTTCTATACCACTGTGTACTTTGCATTAAGAATTCTAGTTTGTCCCTCAAAAGGGTTTTAGAAATAAATCATGGAAGGAGCCCCATAGAAGTTTTTTTTTTTAATACTGAAATTTACTATTTTTTAATGCTTAATATTAGAAAGTATGTTGGTAGGTAGGGGCACCTGGGTGGCTCAGTCTGTTAAGTGTCTGGCTTTGGCTTAAGTCATAATCTCATGGTTCATGAGTTCGAGCCCTGCATCGGCCTTTGTGCTGACAGCTTAGAGCCTGGAGCCTGCTTTGGATTCTGTGTCTCCCTCTCTCTCTGCCCCTCTCCTGCTTCTCTCTCTCTCTCTTTCAGAAATAAACACACATTAAAAAAAAAAAAAGAAAGTATGTTGGTAGGTAAAAATCTGTGTGTTTTAAAAAGTCACATTTATAAACCTATGTATAATACTCCATGAAGGTTAAATATTGAGCAACAATGCTTGGGTGTTCTAGAGCCATAATTAGAATACTGGTTGCAAATTGCCAAAATTCAGTGAGTCAACAAACCAATTAAAAAAAAAAAAACTGAAGGATATTAGATTTCAAATGTTCTTCCTTAATTTAGTTTTCCCATTATACTTTATTTTAATTATTCATAGTATTGCTTAACATGCCAGGAAATGTCTTGTAATAGAATTTATAAAATAATGTAGTTTCAGTAATATGAATACTATCTTTAGCATTCTGCTTGTAAATCTCAGATAGAGATGTTTTGTAAGGAATCATCTAGTTTGATGCATAAAAGCACGTCTTTGCATAGTAACTTTATCCATTTTAGAACTTTGAGACCAAATGCTCACTTGAGAAAAATAAATGGAAATGATTGGTATATGTCATTTTGTTGTTGTTATTGTCGACAAATAAGGAAAAAATTGTAAGAAAAAAATATATAGTCCACTAACATAGAACAGTAATTTTTCATTTAAAGTATTTTTCCTCAAATTTTTATTTAAATTACAGTTCGTTAACATGCAATGTAATATTAGTTTCAGGTGTAGAATTTAGTGATTCATCGCTTCCATACAACACCTGGTGCTCCTCACAACAGGTGCCCTCCTTTTTTTTAAAAAAAATTTGTTTTTAATCTTTTATTTATTTTTGAGAGACAGAGACAGAGCATGAGTGGGTGAGGGGCAGAGAGAGGGGGAGACACAGAATCCAAAGCAGGCTCCAGGCTGTGAGCTGTCAGCACAGAGCCCGATGTGGGGCTCAAACTCCCGAAATATGAGATTATGACCTAAGCCAAAGTCGAACGTTTAACCGACTGAGCCACCCAGACTCCCCCAGGTGCCCTCCTTAATACCCCCCATCTACCTCCCTTCTGGTAACCATCAGTTTGTTCTTTATAGTTAAGAGTTTGTTTCTTGGTTTGTCTCTCTTCCCCCCCCCCCACCCTTATATTCATTTGTTTTGTTTCTTAAATTCCACGTATGAGTGAAATCATACGATATTTGTCTTTCTCTGACTGACTTATTTTGTTTAGCGCTATACTCTCTAGCTCCATCCTCATTGTCGCAAATGACAAGATTTCATTCTTTTTTATGGCTGAGTAATATTCAATTGTGTGTGTATATATACACAGCACATCTTCTTTATCCATTCGTCAGCTGGTGAACATTGGGGCTCTTTCCATCATTTGGCTGTTGTTGATAATGCTGCTGTAAACATCGGAGTGCATGAGTCCCTTCGAATCTGTATTTTTATATCCTTTGGGCAAATACCTAGTAGTGCAATTGCTGGGTCATAGGGTAGTTCTATTTTTACTTTTTTGAGGAACCTCCATACTGTTTTCCACTGTGGCTGCACCAGTTTGCATTCCCACCAACAGTGCACGAGGGTTCTCCTTTCTCGACATCCTTGCCAACTTGTTTCCTGTGCTATTAATTTTAGCCATTCTGACAGGTGTGAGGTGATACCTCATTGTAGTTTTGATTTGCATTTCCCAGAAGATGAGTGGTGTTGACCATCTTTTCATGTGTCTACTGGCCATTTGTATGTCTATTCATGTCTTTTACCTATTTTTTAACTGAATTATTTTTTTTTTTTTTGGATGTTGAGTTTTATAAGTTCTTCATAGATTTTGGATACTAACCCTTAATCACATATGTCATTTGCAAATATCTTCTCCCATTTCACAGGTTACCTTTTAGTTTTGCTGATCATTTCCTTTATAGTGACTATTACTTGCTTTTTTTTTAAATATTTTTATTAATGTTTATTTATTTTTGAGAGACAGAGAGAGAGACAGTGAACAGGGGAGGGGGAGAGAGGGGGCTCAGGGAGAGAGAATCCCCAGCAGGCTCCACGCTGTCAGCACAGAGCCTGATGTGAGACTCAAACCCCTAAACCATGAGATTGTGACCTGAGCCGAAATCAAGAGTCAGAGGCTTAACCAACTCAGCCACCCAAGCACCCCAAGTATTACTTTATGATAGTTATTCATATACATGCTTTTCTCTTTTCTTCTTACGTAGACCCTATAGGTAGATTGACTGTTTTAGTGAAAAGCATAGCCCCTGCCCAACTGTCTTTTCAATTCCACTAGATATTTAAGGGACACAGGATTGATGGACAGATCATTGACTTTGAGTGAGTTAGAGGTGCAGCAGAACAAGCAAGCCTTGAGATGTAAATTCCTGTTGAAAATTTGGACATGTATTTGCCATTAGTTCCATGAGAAGGTGGAAGTAAGCAAGAAAGAGCTTTTCTTTTATCGTATGGGTGTAGATTTTTTACAAGTCCGGGATCTACTTCTGTGTCCTAGTCTTACTATTAATGGTAGAGGGTCACAAATGTGTTAAGTATGAATTTAAATTTTGTTCCTAAATAGAAAGGTTCTGTGTAGGCCATATATACTGAGGTACTTATAGCAGTGAAAAAATAAGCAGCACATTTAAAATGGAATAGGCAGTTGTGAACTCTTTCCTCGTGATTGCACGATAGTAATTGGCTAAAGACTTTTCAGTCCATTTGATGACTATTTGGTGACATGTTTGTTCTGTTGGATTTCTCTTTGCTAGTGGATGGGAGACACTTCCTAATGAAATGACACTCCCATGAAATTTGGGCAGCAAAAAAAAAAATTGCTTTTTATCTCAAATTGAGAATTCTTTTCTTTCTTTTTTGGGTCTTGTGATTCTTGATATTAAAAAGCCATTTAAGATTTAATATTATCTGGCCTCACCATGCGACACTGGGCTATTTTTCTGCCTTGTCCTCGATCTTTGCCTTAGCTGGATGCTGTTCCCCAAATACAATTTCATCCCTCCTTGTCGTGCTTCACTCTAGTCGCGGGTCTCCCAAGTCCTTTCTCATTTTTCCCTTCCTAGTAATGCCCTGCTTATCCTTGAGGATCTAATTCAGGCGTTACTTCTCTATAGATTTCTGAACGATTCTTCTCCCACACCCCCAACAGAACCAATGGCCGCCTTCCTTTTGTGGTCATAGCACATAGTTGGTGGCTCTTGGAACAACCATGATTCCTAGATACGTCGCAGTTCCTAAGAGTCGGGGCCATGTGCCATCCTTCCTTGTGTCTCCTAGAACAGGCGTTCCGCGAACATTTGTCCAACCGAAATGTTTAGAACGCCATGCTTCTCGTGATTAGGAGAGCAGCTGGCCTCGTTAAACCCCTTGATCACAGTGGCCCTCGTTCCCTGTGTTCCTCACACACCCTGTCCCCACCTGTTGCACTGTGCTGATTGGTGTCTAAGAAAATGCATTCGAGAGCGATCAAAGAAGGATCCTTGTATGTGGATGCAACGCGCGGGGGAGCCGGCTGGCGACTCCGCGTTGCTCCGGAGCTCTGAGTTGCGTTCTCTTCTCCCCTTTCTGCAGGACCCGAACAGGAGCATTCATACCAGCAGCAGCAGCAGCAGCAGCTGTAGCAGCAGCAGCAGCAGCAGCAGTAGCAGCAGCAGCAGCAGCTGTAGCAGCAGCAGCAGCAGCAGCAGCAGCAGCAGTAGCAGCAGCAGCAGCAGCAGCACCAGTTTTTCAAAGCCTCACAAGTTAATGAAGGAGCACAAGGAAAAACCTTCTAAAGACTCCAGAGAACATAAAAGTGCCTTCAAAGAACCTTCCAGGGATCACAACAAATCTTCCAAAGAATCCTCTAAGAAACCCAAAGAAAATAAACCACTGAAAGAAGAAAAAATAGTTCCTAAGATGGCCTTCAAGGAACCGAAACCCATGTCAAAAGAGCCAAAACCAGACAGTAACTTACTCACGATCACCAGTGGGCAGCAAGACAAGAAGGCTCCTAGTAAAAGGCCCCCCATTGCAGATTCCGAAGAACTCTCAGCCAAAAAAAGGAAAAAGAGTAGCTCAGAGGCTTTATTTAAAAGTTTTTCTAGTGCGCCACCGCTGATACTCACTTGTTCTGCTGACAAAAAACAGATAAAAGATAAATCTCATGTCAAGATGGGAAAGGTCAAAATCGAAAGTGAGACATCAGAGAAGAAGAAATCAACTCTGCCACCGTTTGATGATATCGTGGATCCCAACGATTCCGACGTGGAGGAGAACATGTCCTCCAAATCTGACGTGAGTAGTCTTGTTGGTTTCCCTCCTTTCCCATGTTAGCCTTCAGATCTTATTTCAGATGGCTGTAGGAGAAAGGATGAGGGAAGAAACTGACAGCCGAACCGTGAAATGGTAGCATGGATGGGCCTAGAGATGAATTTCCTTAACTAATGGAAAGAAGGAAATGAAATCATTAAAGAATCAGCAGACATTTGGACTGTGATGGAAATTGTTAAAGGAAAGATACGTTCCGTAGTGTAATAATGGGCTGTGTTGAATAGCAGCAGGAAAATTGAGATGCTCCTTGGCACTTAGTTACTGTGCTTTTCCATGATTGCTGATTTAGGAAAGTGAGAAGAATGCGATAAAACTTGAATATATGAGAAAATAAATTTAAAAGACAAATTTAGAAAATATTGGGGTGCAGCTATAACGTTGATCTTTTTGATCAATGCTATGAAGTAATTTGTTTACAGAGATGAGAAGCTGGTATAGTATTTTTAAGAGGTTTTCTGGAGGCAAAATTGATATAATGACCGTATAGATTTAAAATGTATAACTTGGTAAAATTTGACACATATTTGTACTTGTGAAAGCCGGTGGTGGTATTTTGAAAAAGAACCACTTAATTTTTTTTTTTTTCTTCCTTTGGGGCCATGGTCGGGGTATGTGATCTTTGTTTTTGCTGATGGGTGGGATTAACTTTTGTGGATGCCTAAAAGACCATCTGACCATTTCACGTCCCTTCAAAATGTTACCTGATGTTGAGATTTAAACTTACAATTGCAGATTTCTCAGAGTTGGAAGGGGGGTTCACGCTATCTATTCTAACTTCTCGCCAGTATAAGAAATCTTATGCTTCCAGTGACAGAACTATTAGTATTTGAAATAGTATTCCATTCCAGTTCTAGAGAATGAATGTTATTTACTTTGAAGTCAAATTCCCTTTTTTTTTTAAAACAATCTTTAGCCTTTTAAAGTTACTTATTAGTCCTGACCAGTCCAAATAATCTCCTTACTTTGGCTTGTCAGTATTTCTAGACAATGGTCAAGGAAGATGTCTGGCTAAAAATTGCTGGCAATGTGAGACTATTTCTCTTTCTGTCCCACGGGTTCACCATACACATGTTCCTAATTCGAGTGCTGGCAGAGGTGGAGGGACTTCGTAACAGATTCTGTCTTCTGCATTTGCGCTGGGTAGAAGGGCAGCCGGGGTGACAACGTGGAGTCACAACCGATCTCCTGTTGTCCAGAGACTACTTCCTTCCCCACTACCCTCCATAGCTAATCTTGAAATTGTAATAGAAGATCAAATTAGGAGCACAGTAGCATATAAAATACAAGAGATTGGGGTAATTTGTTCCAGTGTTTGGTAAATGTTTTATAGCAATAGTTTATTGAACCAATGAGAACTAATGGGTTTGTGCCAACACGTCAAGCATTTATTTTTCCTCTTGTGCTTTTTACTTAGGGTCCTCTTTTTTTTTTTTTTTTTTTTTTTTTTTTTTTTTTTTTTTTTTAAAGCTTATTCATTTATTTTGAAAGAGAGACAGCACGAGCAGGGGAGGGGCAGAAAGAGAGGGAGAGTGAGAGAATCCCAAGCAGGCTCCGAGCTGCCAGTGCAGAGCCTAGACGCAGGGCTTGAACCCATGAAACTGTGAGATCGTGACCTGAGCTAAAACCAAAAGTCCAGCACTCAACCGACTGAGTCACCCAGGCGGACTTAGGCTCCTCTTAATACAAAACTTGTTCTCAATTAGGTGTTACTTGGAAAGTTTTTTTGTATGTTTGACTTTTATTTCAAATCACCCTAAGATGTCCATTGATCCTCTTGGGGTGTGATTAGTCTATCAAGATTGTCAGGTTTAGCCACTTAGTCTTTCTGTATTCTGACGTGTTGTGACTCTTCTCGAACGGAGGTTTTCAGTTGTGGCTTAGGATTCAGTGGTGAGCCACGAAACCATTTTAGCATGTCGTCACCAGTGTTTACAAAAAATCAGAATACGTTGTAATCAGCATGGGTGAGTAATGGTTTGTAAAAATTCTATTTCATAGGCTGTGTGTGTTTCTTATAGTAGGTTATGGTCAGAAAGGCATCTTTCTTGAACGTTAGCTGATTAAACGACATTCCTAAAGCAAACCTCTTTCTACATGAAATTGTCCCAGATGATCATCGTCCTTAGATAACTCTGTGCATTTTTGTTTTTATTTGTCTCTTGCTCCCTCCCTTTTCTATATGATTTATAAGATATGACTTTTCTTTTCATAAACTTCATGTTCAACTTGGTGTATTAATCCTAAGCCATAAGTTGAAAAGTCTTTTGGAGTAAAGAGTTAGAATCTTAATTCCTTGCAGTAGGGAGCAAATTTTCACAACAATTCATGACATAGGAGAATCACATATCCAGTAATTGTTATAGGAGTTTTTGTAACGGGTTCTGCACATCATTATAGAGAAAGTCTCTAAAGGCTTTTGGATATTATTTGGGTATAAAACCCAACAGATACCCTTTCTTTATCAGTTTTCTGGTAGTAGTGCTTTTATTGTTGCTGTTGTTGGTTTGATTCTCTAAATGCAGGTGGTGGAGCCGAAGAAAATTGATGAAAGTCGTTCCAAATAACCCATGACTCAAAAGACCTTTCTGTGAACAAAGAAGATAAGGGAAGGGTGGTGGAGGGAGGGAGGGGAAGGGAGGTGCTAAAGTTCCCTGTATGCAATAATAGAGATCACCTTTGTCTGGCCTTCTTCCTACCTGGTGTTCCCACTGTGGGCAAGACAGAAGGAATGGGAGACAATTGTAATGGAGAGCAGTGAGGAGCCCAGATTTTCCCTTGGCCAGTAACAGATTTGATAGCTTGGGACAGGCCCAACTTCAGTGGGCATACTGTAATATCCTGGTGGTGAGTATGTCTGTATCTGAGTAAGTGTGGTAAGATGAGCTGATCTCTCTAACATCCTTTCCAGCTTTATTATTTGAATATGAACCAGATTTGTGTTCATTTATGGCAGATAGGGTCGTGGGTAATTTTAGGCACAATGGGCAGAGATCATGGTCTTTGAAACAGAAGAAAGAGACAAAAAGAAATTGGAAGAGTATGAAGAATTAGGAAGGGCTGGGAAGAAAAGATTATTTACCTGGTAAGCTTGTAAACATCTTACCTGGGTACAGGTTAGTTACAGTAAAAGGAAGAACTTAAAAAGTTTTTTTTAAATATTTTATTTATTTTTGAGAAAGAGGGAGACAGAGTGTGGGCAGGGGAATGGCAGGGAGAGAAGAGACACAGAATCTGAAGCAGGCTCCAGGCTCTGAGCTGTCAGCACAGAGCCCGATGTAGGGCTCAAACCCATGAACTGTGAGATCATGACCTGGGCCAAAGTCACATGCTTAACTGACTGAGCCACCAAGGCGCCCCTAAAAGGAAGAACTTTTTAAAGAAGCTTTTCCATAACTAAGTTAGATTCAGGTTTTATATAAAAATAAAATCAGTGCTATTACTGATTACTGGAAGCTTACTTAGATTGTTGATTCATATGGTTCCTCTTGGTTAAGATTTTTATATACTTCGCATAGAAAAGTAGAAGTACATCCATGCTTTGTATTCCTACGTGTCGTTTTTGAAGGATCACTTATTTGTTAATAAGTGGTTAGGCAGGCCAGGTAGGTAGGTAGTCAAGTAAGCAAATAATTAGGAGTTTGTAGTGTGGTGACAGACAGGCTGTGGTTTGAAGCCCAGCTCCTCCCGTGATCTTAAGCAAATGTTTTAACCTTCCGTATTTTAGTTAATTCTCTTGTAAGGTGGAGATCGTGATAGTATTTACTATGTAGGATTATTGTGAAAACTGTAAAGCACCTATGAGCACATTAACCAAAAAATGCTAGTTAACTATGATATGTGTGATGTAGCTTCTGGCAACCTTTATAACATACAGCTTTGAAAGAGATTTTTTGATATTCAGAAATACTGTAGAACTCTAGTGTCCTTGTTCAAGAGTTGGGTTATATGTTTTAAAGGGGCAAAAATACTAGGTCTTGTTGCTCTGAAATTTGTTTTGAGAAGGTATATGTCCTTGATATTGGTACGCATTTGTTACACGGTGACTGGAAAATTAGAGGGCTTTAAATCAAAGCTTTAAATCAAAAGTTAAGCCAAAAAGTGTCCCAGGATCTTTGAGCTTTTTACTTCAAATAGGTAAAGGACAAGGACATACCTAGCACTGTATTATTAGGTAGGCTCTTGCTTGTTTGTTTTATTGCTGCTACTATTAAAGGAAGACGTCCTAAGAAATGACTTCTCTGTGGATTGTTATTAATGTTACACAGAGTCATTTTTAAATACATTTTTCAATTCCTGAAATGTTTGTTCTTTTCTAAAGAAATTTAATATGGTCACATGAAAATCCATTGGTGATTTTTCCCGACAGAATTAAAGAGTTGCAGGGAGACAGAGGGAGTGGTTTATAGCGGATGAGCATTTAGCAAATACAGGAAACATGGTAAGAGCGTGTTTTTGCTATATACATAAATGTTAGCATTAAGAATATTTTACCTTCAAGGACCTCCGTATTTCCCGTTAGAGTAAGGCTACTCTTGGTTTAGGAAATTATCACCTTGTGGTCATGATGGTCATTTATGGAAAGTAACCTTACTAGTGATTGACATGTGCTAGCAGCTAGAAGGGTGAAGGTCTGTATCCTTGTCAACTTAAAGTTTATAATTGTGGTTTACATGAACTTGTTTACACTTTAATTGACAATTAAAAAGAGCCCAACTATCTATCACGCCTCCTGTATTCCCCTAGGTTTTGTGTTTCATTTAATTCAGCTTCCGAAGAGAAATCTATTGGGTTGATCATGTTTTGTGATATGGGGAAGTTTGGTATTCATAGCAGAGAAGAAGGGGGACAGAGTAAAATAAAACTGAAATAAGTATTTATAATCAGATGTGGTTTTGGTAGTAATTTCCTTATCATTGCCGTTGCTTTTGCCTTGTTCTGTAGAGATTTAATTGTGATTTAAAAGT